AGGTTGGTTAATTATATAGGCCACATGTCTTTGCCCTACATCGCAAAAAATCAAACGCGTGTGCATGCAAATCAGTGGGCTGTAATCCGTACAAGTTACGATCAGGAGTCTATAACTAGGACAGTAATGTAGGTTGGTTAAAAAAAAATGTGACCTTTAGCAGTAACCTATAAAATCGCTATTTTAAGACTACTATGTATACACATCATCGAGATTGTTACGCCCTAAATAATACAAACAGTTCTTGTGTTTGGTATTATAATGCCGTTTTGTTACAAAATTAAATCACTCGACTTTTACGTTCTGTAAATAAACTACCTCCGTTCAGTTTCTGTTCTCGAAGTTGGTGGTTTTGCATTTCCCACATGATGGTCTCAAACACAGCCAAAATAATTATTTTATCCTCAATAGTCATCGAGTATGGTTTACTATTAGTAATTAGACAACTTTCAGTCGTTTCGAAAAGTTCTAAATAGTCAGGTATTCACAAATGCAGCTGTATCGAATTGTTTTGCTAACATCGACAAAAACACCGGTTATAGAGCTCTGATAATGATACCAATGGCGCATCTTTGATGGTTATCGTAGTCGAGGTTGCAGCCACACCACTGTCAACAGTTATTGCCGTTCCATGCCATAAGTCGCATCTACAGTCATATGCGTTCTTATTTTATGAGTAACGGTATTTTAGCAACTTCACCTCGAAGTTGTTTTTCTGCGTGGATTTCTTTTCACGTCGGTAACATTTAAGGTCCGTTATTGTTATTCTATTAATAATGTGATAGCGTAGCATAATTGCTGGATATGTCGATTTTGATCAGGTGCAACACGCACACGCTCTTCCAATCAATTAGCCTTTTTCATCAGTACAAATGTCATACTGGTGTAATATTTGAATTTCCGGTGTGCGTGCCCACATGAGGCCTTGCATTATGTTTATGTAAAACCAATGAATAATTTCTGAATGGAAGGTCTCATCCTCGCACAAAACGTGCGTCCTTGAAGAATGAAAGTCGAAATCATTCCTTTATCAGTTGGGTCAATGCTGTTTTAAGATGTTCGTCAGTAGTCAGTTCCACGTCTTCGTCTTAAAAGCATTCTTTTAGTTCTTTCATACATGGAGTTGTAATCAACAAACCGAGTATCTTCTCGAAATAATACAATACTTACTTCCATTCTGGATTCGCGTTGGTACATTAGGATTGTCCATGCTGTAGATCTATATTTGCCCCTTAGCTATATTCTATCTCAGTTTATGCGAGGGTTTACAAAGGTCTGTTTTCACATAAATATGAATCAGTTTGTGGATACAGAATCGCTTTTCATATTCACATCATTGGTCAGCTGAATCAAAACATTGCGGCAAATTCTGCATCATCATCATCATCATCGCGATCAGTATCCATCACTTATATCTAATCAAAACATAATTGCCAAAGAAAGTGAATAACGCTTCAGACTAAATTATCTATTTTATCTCTGTCATTCAATCTTATTAATATTAAACTGACCCGAAGGCAAATACTTTTTCAAAAGGTCGTCAGTATAACATGCCATAATGCAAAATTTCTTTAGCCTAATATTTTGGTTTAATCAATGGGGTCTTGCAGCGAATGTTTTGGTTGTAGTAATTGAATAATACGATACTATATGTGGCAGTCGAAGCCGCACAATAAATAAATTATATTCAAATCTATCAGTTGTAAATTCTAAAGTCACCACTGGGATGAAAACCATCAAGTAGTTCAAATTTTAAAAGAAAATTTTCAGAGTTTTTTTCTTCATAACTAATATACATATACAAATTTAACATGCCAGCAATGATATCACTAATTGGTACGGCTCTTGAATCAGCTAAATTTTGCATCCATTCATAACAAGGAATCATTTCATCGCCAGACCTTTTTCACGTTTTTCACGTTCGATACCGGCAAGGGCAAGGGCAACGTTTTCAAGAATTACTTTGATTTCAAAAGTCGATGTTATGAAATCTAAGAGTGATACGGTGTAATCATTTCCCAGAGCGTTGTCTTGTATAATTTTCCCTTAATTTACAAGAAAGCCTCAGATGAAATAAAAAACACAAATGTGTCTTGCACTTATAATTCTATTATTGTTGATTAGGGGCCATTGTAGGTTATCGACATAATTGAAAATCTTTATTGCTTGGATTAGCTAAAACAGGCCCGTTAGTGTAAAACGTGGGATCTGGTGTATCTTTACAATGAGCCATGGTGAAATTACACATTAATGGTTTCGTCTAAAACTCTTTAAAACTCTCCACCACCCATTGTCAGATTTGCAATCACTGAATGAGACAGACGTTGACGAGTGGCACCACTGATAAGACTATTTACCAGGTCGAACATACTGCTGTTGATGGTGACGTAGTTGGAACTGCCATTGTTGGTGATATAGTGAATAATCTTCATAGCCAATCGCTTAACGATTAAACCACCAAAAGTTTTAACCTATCCACAGCAATGTTTTGATCATATCAACGACTCACATTGCAACAAGTTTAGTTATTGACACAGCACGCGAAGACAAGTCCGCGAACATTTTAGAGCTCTAAACAATTCACGAGCAAAATCGCCACGTCCAATTAAGTAATATGCCATGCAAATTGTTTTTCGCTCCTTAACAGTTCGCACTGGTATCACTCTTACACGAACATTTCTCATTATATTTAAATATCAGGTCTAGCTCTAATGTTAAGGTGCATTGTCAATATATCCCAGCCCAGGTCTGACGTGTGGCCGTCCTAGCCTACAAAGGTGTAATGAATATGTCAACCAACCATAATGAAATGGAAGATGCACTCGATATCATCTGTCCCCATCTTTGGTGAATACCCAGATAGTATGCAACTTCAAGCGGCTATGCTAGTAAACGATCAACATTCATAACTGGAACTGACGACATTAAAACTCTAATTGACCTGAATCTTTCAAGTAATAGTGACAATCCTAAGTGCAATATGATATACATTGAGTGAAAGACAATTTGTGTACGAGAACTTCTTCAAGCCGACCGAGAACCAATGTTGTTGATGACCGTGTGATATTGTGATAACGATTCCATTGAAACAACATGAATACATGTTGCCTGATGTTCACGTGTAATAATTTTATGAATCTTTACCGGTCACAAGTTTGATTCTTCGTTGAGTCTGTTCACTGAAATATTCCATGTCGTACACTCCTGCGTGAATTTCAATATCATCCCCCATGACAAATATATAAATGGGTTATTTGCACCAAGACCACCAACCTGTCATGATATGAAATTCGGTCAATGTAATAAACTCGCAATTACACCAATGGAATCTCGAGTGTGCACCCTTCCCCCGCGGTGATTGTTAGTAGAAAAATTAATATTATATTCTGGTCGATGTGATTGTAATTATCGAGGCATGGGGTAGATTTGTATTTGCAACAACACGTTAAATCGCAGCAATGGTTGTGCACTATTAACATTACCACGATTATTACAAGTCGCTCCAGGCTTAGAGTTTCCACAATCTGTTGCTGCGCGGTTAACAAAACATGTTCAGGTTCGTATTGAACAGGTTAATATACTTAGTGACCATGCGATTGTGGAAGAATTCAACCGCACACTTGCCTAGTTATTATTCGGTCATCAGTGCATACAAGAATTGCTAAGAAGATCACAGGCTCGACGGACTATTAATCTCAGAAACATTTTGGAATCAGATACATCCATACACCAGCTGCATGTATATTTAGAAATAACACTTTTATAGGTAGGTATCAAACCATTAATACATATAGGTATTTATGGAATCTAACTCCATCTATAGATTGGTGTCTGGCTCATTTGGGACACAGAACCATTCATGGAAAGGTGTCAGGCACATTCTGAATCATTTTAGGAACATTTTAAAAATTGATCAATCCATAGATAGGTGTCAGGCAAATTTGAAATTCTTCGAATAATGAGATTTCTTGTTATTTTTAGACCAATTGTTTTGTTTTTGTGGGTTGTGGAATATTTCTTTTTATATATTTTATTGGAATTTTGGAAGTGATAATATCATTTGGAAAGATAAAGCATTGTTTATTACACAAGTGCTTAATTTACAGTATTTGCTTAAAAAAGGGGAAAAAACAGGGTATATATTTTTAAAGCAGCTGATGATAATAAGAACACCCACATATATAAGTCTTAGACACATATGTAATTCATGTGCCTAAATAATATCGTGAAAAAATATTTTATCGATGTTAAATGTTCATAGCGTATATATTAGATCAAAACTGTCATGCAATCTGGCAGAGCAAGAGGAAATTCATACAGTGCACACTAGAAAAGATATCTTAAGTTTGCAGGGTAAAGTGCTTTTGGATGTTCATCATCTGTGGCATGGTGCTTTGAAAGCATAGCATACATTGCAAATGATTTTAAAGCTGTAATTAGATGCTTTAAGATAAGCAAAACTTCGAGGTTATTACTCATTTAACAACATGTTGTCAGCATTACCTTCTTAATGTTTTAAAATGTATCGGCTTTAATTTGTCTGATAAGGTTAACAGATCAGTGAACAACTATAGTAGGGTAAGTGTTTTGAAACTCAAGAAAATATAAAATCAATTACCCATGTACCTTAAATGGGTCAGATTATATTCTTCGATATTTTAAATGTGCCGGATTATATTCTTCAACACCTTGAACGGGTCAGTTTATATTCTTCGATACCTGGAATGGACCAGATTATTTTATTTTTTACCTCGAATGGCACACATTACATTCTTTGATACCTTGAATGGGTCAGTTTATATTCTTCGATACCTCGAATGGCACAGATTATATTATTCTATACCTCGAATGGCACGCATTACATTCTTTGATACCTTGAATGGGTCAGTTTATATTCTTCGATACCTGGAATGGACCAGATTGTATTATTTTATACCTCGAATGGCACACATTACATTCTTTGATACCTTGAATGGGTCAGTTTATATTCACCATACCTTGACCAATCCGGTGGCTTAGTGGTTAGAGCGTCCGCCTCGAATGTGGGAGGTTGCGGTTTCGAATCCAATTTGAGTCATACTCTTATGACTCATACAGTCTTATTTTAAAACAAATTGTACAAGCACCTGCCTCTCTAGGCGAGTAGGCTATATTGTATTATTAGATTCCTTGAAAGGCCAGATTATGTTTAGCGTGCCTTGAATGGGCCAGATTATGTTCTTAAATACTTTGAATGGTTCAGATTATAATTAGCATAACTCGAATAGGCCATGCTATATTCTTAGATACTTTAAATGGACCAGATATATTCTTAGATACTTTGAATGGGTTAAATTATATTCAGCATAAATTGAATGGGTCAGTTTTATTTTGAATATTTTAAAAAGATCAGATAATATTCATGAAAAAGAGTCTTTATAATCGCTAATTTAAATTTTAAAACAACTAAGATGTAATTGATACCACTATTAGAGCACAAATGTCAACTACCCAAAGAAAGCCAATCTTTGAAGGGAAGGTGACAAACTCCTCTCTGAGGAATTGTTCTTAAAGTATATTCCATAATAGGCTTGGCCTATTTACAAGGGACATCGGCTGAAACACACTGGAAAAATAAAATGAATCGAAAAAACTGAACAGTATTTACCTTCTAAAGACCCAAGAACGTTAATGGACTCCTCGTATCAGATAGATGGCATCAGGTGAGTTTTTGAACTATTTGGTTGCGGCGAAGTAAAGGCGAGAACATAAAGTCAACCACCTTAATTGGAAAAAGATCAGTGTGAATATTTTCAGCTGGGTGATTATGATAAAGGTCAAAGAAAACTTTTATTTTGATTGAGATATTAAACAAGGATAACCATCTTGCAACAAAATTTTAATAAATATGCAATTGGATTATGCAGTGGTTGGGATTGTTCCTTGGAGTGTGCTTATTTGCTGAAATGCTCGTGTACAACTTTACTTCCTTCCTCATGTATTGTATCTTGTAATTCTGCAAAATATGTACTCAATGCACTTCAAATAATGCATATGGTTGAGGTCGTTGGATGAAAAAATTACTAATTTTTTGTTTTCGTTTTGTTTGTTTTAGTTTCAGATTTCTGTGTGTGTGTGTGTGTGTGTGTGTGTGTAATACAATATTTGAATTATCATATTACGGTATCAATGTGCTAGTATATTTGTAATGATTATATGAAAATTTTATATCTTTACATATCTGCATTCACGAGTCATGTTCAGGGTAATATCTTTGGTTGAGCTGGCACTTTATAACCAAATTGATTTCTCATACCATACAACATTAATTAATTAGCTTCAATATTAAAATACACCATTGGCAAATACACTTGTTATCATGTATAATTAATGTTTGTAAGGCATGTCCTTGACTGGGTCATGAGATCAAAATGTAGGGAAATGCTTGGTTGAAGGTTTGTTTACATCAGCTTTATCAGCTCCATTGGATTATCATCGTATTCTGTCTTTTATCTTTGTTATTAATGCCATTACATACTTTCCCTTCTCCTTGAACATGTCATAACCCTGGATGGAACCATGGAGTGAAAGGATGAACCCATTATATATTTAAAACTCACATCTATTGAAGGGGTTGTCATAGGTGACCACAACTGACAGTAACGAAAACATATCGATTAATTTGGTCAGAAAACAACGGTTTATAGGTCAGAATATGCTAAGAACTTGGTGGAGGACACAATTAGTGAAAAATATTCCAAATTTATATGTTTGCCTTCCAGATAATTGAGGTGTCAAGAAAATAGAGCAATGTAAAGCTCGAGACTATCAACAGGTGTCATCCATGTTTACAATATCACTGAATTTTATCAATTTAAACTATAATTACTGACAACAATCCTGATTTAAACAATATTGTTTAAGGTACATAAAGAGTGATTCTTACTTTATATATTTTAACATTATTTTTAAACAGCCAATGTTAGAAGAGAACTGGTATAACTCACAATGGCATGTAGGAGATTACAATCCGAATGTTTTCTTTGAAATGATAATTTGCTACTTTGGATATATTTCTGCTTGTAATTCAAAACTGAGGTAAACAAGATACAATGTCGTGGGGATGTGTAACTTAACTGTCGCTAATGCAATAATGATAACGTTACAATATCATTATTTAATATTAATCAACAATGGATAGTAAGATATGCAATGAAGAAAACGTCTTGGTTCAATTACCTGTTGTTTGTTGGTTTTTTTTCAAACGAGAAATTGTATTGAAACAGTCATCAAATAAACCTATGAAACGTGTTCCTATTAACTAAATAGCAATAAAATAATTTAAAACTAAAGGGATCCTAGAAGAATGCTAAAACCTATGCAATAGTAAACTCTACTTATAATAAACAATTTCACAAAATGCTGGCAAGAATGTCATATGAATCGTGGGTTTCCTATTGTGCTTTCTAAACTTTGTAATTGACTTGAAAGTACTTGACACGTTTTCAGTAAAGTTCTATGATTCAATTGAAAGTACTTTTCAAGTAATTAGTAATGTTGCATGACGGAATTTAAAGTACTTGTAAAGTTTTCAGTACTGTTATATGACTGAATTTAAAGTACTTGTCAAGTAATCAGTACTGTTGTATGACTGAATTTATAGTACTTGTCAAGTAATCAGTACAGTTGTATTACTGAATGTAAAGTACCTGTCAAGTTTTCAGTACTGTAGTATAATCAGCATTGCTTAGAACATCGTTATCATCACATCACCTACGATAACAATTGTTTTTACCGTACAGTTCTGAAATTTGTTTGTCAGTCCTGAACTTTATATTGTGTCCAAATCCTAAAAACTAATATGTTTCTCTAAACTATTTTCAAAGATAAACTCACCGTGATGTTATTTCCATAGTTAAATTTGATTTATTTAGGGATGCTGAAGTGTAAACTAAACAACACGCAGTGGGTCAGCCCATTCATTCACTTCCAGAACAGCAACAATGTCTCTTTATTCACTGTGCAATGTTGCCATATTACACAAACCCAGATAACCATACCATAATAATCACATTATAATAATAATAAATTCCCTTTAAATCAATATAAAAAGTGTCTAAATCTCTTATGCTTCACCTCCAAAAATGATAGACAAAAATGTACCAAGCACAGATAGAGATTACATTCGTGGGCACTGATCGGAAAGTAATAATTGTGTCCTTAGTCCATATGTCCATCACGCAATATTAGCGTCACTCGGTGTCAGTTAAAATTATCTGATACAAAAGAATAATACGTACGAAGCAGCATCGTTATCGAGATTTTAAGATGGATTCATTACCTACTTTCGAGTTAGGAATTTAAATGGTGTGTAGTTCATATAGTGTCTTGTTCAAATTATGTGAATTTATATTAACAGAAATATTCTAATACACGTACTGCAAAAGATTTTGAGATAATGCAGATATGTATCGCGTTGTGTAATGGAACACATTTGGTTCTCACCTTATGCAAGGTATTCTAAATAAATGCTGAAGCATAAATAGCTACTGAATCAAGCTTCTTCACTCTAGAAGGCGATACAACGTTGTGTGGCTATTGAATTATCGCATCTGCCAGACGTGTGTCTTGTCGAATTATCTAAACGTTGAGTAATTTGCAGTATTCAATCACTGTTTTAGATCCTCGAATTTCTCTGTACTTCACAATCAGCGACCATTCAATGGAACACAATACACAAACCAGCAATAAACGTGACGCGATTTGGCAAAGATTAGTCAATCTGCAGAGATCAGTCAATACATTGACATCAACAGTATACTAAACCCCATCCGACTGTCACGCTTACGAAATCTTAATGAAAATGTCACTACACACAACAACAACAAGGACAACGACAGCAGCAACAACAAAACAAACAAAAATAAGCATACAAATATGTTGGTTTTATGGCATAAAATACCATACAATGCGATATGTTGTAGTCATTTATGTCTCTATAAACATGCACTGAGGTCATAAGGCGCCGATATCACAAGCAAACTATTTTAATGTTGCAACCATCCTTCTCTAAATAAGTCCTATTTCTCCCTGTCTTTGTCTCCCTGCGTGGTATATTCATTTCATTTCCTAGTTGATGCATACATTTCGCGGTATACTCTGTGTTATTCTTTGCTAATGCATACACTGCGTGGTATATTCATTTCCTTTCCTAGTTGATGCATACATTTCGCGGTATATCCAGTGTTATTCTTTGCTGATGCATACACTGCGTGGTCTGCTCGGTTCCTTTTTTAGTTCATACATACACTGCGTAGTATATTCGATTCCTTTCTTTGCTGCTCTAAACAATCGAATTTGAAAAGCCGATCTGTATTTTGAAATCCTACCTATTAGAAAACATTTGCTGCAGCCAAAAGCTTTAGTAACCGCGTCATTTTAAGATAATTTACGAAGAAATTGCATATATTTTCTTTCTTTAACACACACACATAAATATATCTTACAACTAAAAGTATATCCTATCTTTTCAGTTTTGCTAGCATTTCGTGAACATAGTCTGCTAAAGAAAACAGAAGGTTCACTGCAGAACCAGTTTTATTCAGTAAATCAAATAACAAAGTAGAAGGCCGCTACACCAGCAGTTTTCAGTTTAAGGCGATTAACTGGTTTCATCCACTCTGAACCCGATTTCATTTCACCATCCACCATTTCCATTCTTTTAAAGTTATTAGTTCCTATCTAAGTACATGAGTCACACTTTCTGACATTCAGGCTATTCCACTGACCATTAAAACTTTGGCTATCTAACCTCTTGCCTTTGTGTGAAACCACTTGTCTTTTAACAAAAGACCATCTGGTTAATCAATTGACCTTTCAACACTGCACCACAGGTTTTGAAGACGGAACTTTAAATCAGATTATAACGGGGCCATCACTCACAACAAAACTTATGACATAACGTTTGCGCCTTTATCCTAATATTATATAAATAAATGGGGCCCCGAGTGGTCGTGTGGTCTAAAGCGCTCTACGTTACGAATCACTGCCATCTCACCTGTCTGCATGGGTTCGAGTCTAAGATTCGGCGAATGTGGA